CTTTCCCCCTCCATTCCCTTTATTCCATTTTGTCTAATCCACTTGGTTCCTTTTAATGAAGAATGGTGTTTAGAAACCAAGGTCTTAATGTTAGGTGTGCTGTCGGTGTGCCAGTGTTCCTCAGCTCTGTCAGCAAAATGAGCTAGGAAATAGATGTATGCAAATTTGTTAACCCATGCAAGTTGATACTTATTTTTGTATCTATTTGTAAAATATAGATATTCATATTTCTATTTTAAAAGCCACAATTGATAGAGATTCTTCCAACACCTATCCAAAATGCAGGATTTATCTTCGCCTTCTTTATTTGTAAATTCTTTTCTGATAGTGATAAATCTGGCACTCCTTATCTGGCATTTACTTATTTGTTCAACTCTGTAATCATGGAATGATAAATGTGTAAATCCATACCCCTTCGAGGAACAAAATAGCTTTAAGTATGTTTTTGTGTACAGTTCTTTTAATTAATTATTTTTTAATTATTTTAATTAATTATTTTTTAATTAATTATTTTTTAGTTGTGGATGGACACAATACCTTTATTTTATTTTATTTTTTTAAGTGGTGCTGAGGATAGAGCTTCATGCCTCACATGGCTAGGCAAGTGCTCTGCCACTGAACTACAATACCAGCCTCTGTACAATACAGTCAGAATCATTTGTGAAGGCTTATATTTCATATTGGTAAACCCCACTCCAGTTCTGGTTAATCTTTTTTAAAAAAGATCCTATGTACAATAAAATTTATTTTCGTCTTGTATATTTCTATGAGTTTGAACAATTGCATAGTCATGGTTATACCACCAAGTTCATGAGACAGAATACTTCATTTCCTGAGATGCTATGTTTTGGAAGATACTTAAAATTCACAGGAAATTTTTGTGTGGATTTCTCTGATATTCTCATCTGGTATATATAGTGAGATTAAGAGAAAAACTTGTTTGAATAGGCAACGAGAATAATAAGAGAGATTAGGAATGAGATTTTACTTCCTATTGTACAATTATTTGATATTCATTGTGGTGCTAGAACATAGATTTTTTTATGTTTTAAAGAATTGAATTTTTTTTTAAACAGAAATAATTCAAATTATATAATTATATGTATTTTAAATCTATTTATTTATTTTGACTATTTTTCCTGGCTATTCTAATAGGTATATATTGATATCTCATTGTAGTTATAATTTGCCATATTTATTTTTATATTTATAAATATTGCTTATATATATAAACATTACACACACACACACACACACACACACACAATTTTCTCATGTATTTTACCCTGTGTTTTTCCTTTTTTCACCTATAAGCAAAAAGAAGAAGATTTAGAAGAGAAAAAATTTTATCCTGTTATAATCTGGAAAGGTTTTCATGTATTTTTATCATTTCTCTTGAACAAGTTGATTTTAATTATATTTGTAATTAATTAATGATAAAAGACATGGGATAATGGAGACTACATGAAGAAATTTGGAAACATGTTCAGTTTTGCCAGAAAATACCGCTAATTAAAACATTGAGATACCATTTTCACTTACTAAGATTGAGGTGTATATATGCATGTATGCAAGAAAGAAAAAAAATGGGAATGAATAAGGGGCATTGTAATATATTAATACATTACAGATAGCATTGGAATCTCACACTAATAATGTTTTTTGACAGCACTGAGTATTCAAAAATGTTAATATTGGATCTGTTGGACAGTGCATGATAATGGACTTTTTTTTTTAGAGAGAATTGTTTTTAATATTTATTTTTCAGTTTTCGGTGGACACAACATGTTTATTTTGATGTGGTGCTGAGGATCAAACTCAGTGCCCTGCGAATGCCAGGCGAGCATGTCACTGCTTGAGCCAAGTCCCTAGCCCCCATGGACATTTTTTTAAAAAATATATTTTCTAGATTATCTGTAATAGGAAAACAATATAATTGGACTTCTTTTCAAGACATAATTCTTTTCAAGACATTCTTTTATTTTCAAGACATAATTGTGTAAAAGTTACATTTTACACAGATTTTTGATATTAAACATGATTATGTACCCTAAAGTTAGAGCACAGTGCTTGCAATCTTTTCTTAAACAAATACAGTATTGTCTTAGAAGCCAATTATGAAAGTCAAGATTATTTACTTACCTCTACCAGTCAAGGTTAGTTTTTGAAAAATTTTGTGTGTATTTCCATATTATTATTAAGCATACATAGCAGAACAACCTATATTTAGTGTTTGACTTAGTTTTTTTTTTTTAAGGTTATGTTTTCAAATTTTGTGTTCTAAAGAAATCCTCTTCAATACTGTTGGGAGACAATTCTCCATGGATCTCTTCTGTTTCTGCAGATTCTCTTGAGTATAAGCATTGACATGTTTTGTGTTGGACTATTGTTTTGCAAAGCCTTGATAGATGGAGATAATGTCTTTCTTAGCTAGAGGGTAGATTTGCTTTCTGCCCAGGAAAATGGAGATAATTTTTTTCCTTCAAGGTGGTCTGGCATGTTTACTAGCAGTCCTTTTAAAAGATTTGGGTTTCCTAATTATTAAGTTCTTCCGCTAGGACATAAAAATCATTACTGTTGCATCTTTCACCCAGGCTGCTCCACATCATCCCTTGGAATGTAATTGACAACAGGAAGCTCGGGTTGACTATTGTGTCATAAGAAATAGCTCTAATTCAGGATATTGTTTCTTCTAGCCCCCATGAAATTATGGTTGGCTTCTTTGATAACTTGTGAGTAAAATCTTTGAGCCAGTATAGTTATTTTATGTTTTGATAGACACATATTGGTGAAATTATGTGTTTTTTTAAACATATTATTGTAGGAATTCAGAGTGGTATGTGTAGATTATTGTAGGCATTTGGAATGGTGTGAGTGTGTTAGATTATTATGGGAGTTCAGAGTGATGTGTGTGTGAGTATGTTTAATGAGAAAACTACACTAAAATAGTTTAGGAACTAGATTATTTCTTAACATCAGTTCCCTCTCCCTCTATTAATGGATGACCCTGCTCAATTTCTAGTCTGGAGAGTCTGTCTTTACATCAATGGTCACAATTCCTATATATTTAAAATATGAAGTTTGGGCTGGGATGTTGCTCAGTGGTTAAGTGCTCCTGGGTTTACTCCCTGGTACCAAAAAAAAAAAAAAAAAAAACATAAAATATGAAGTTATCTAATGATATTGGCTTGCTGAGTTATAGTAAAGAACAGTGATATGTTTATATATAATACTTATATTTTAATAGCAAATCCTATTAAATATATACCTGTTTTCTGTAAATTATCCTTAATATGGAAAATACCCTTGCTTTTTTCCTCAGATATAAAACTAAGAACAGTTAGTAAAAATTCTTTTATGTAGTTCTCATTTATTAATGAGAAAGAGCAATGTCTTCTAAAATAACCTTTATTTTACATTATTAAGAGGATTATTTTACTTTGAAAATATAGTATGTTCACAGGCAGAATTAACACTCTTGACAGTTAAATATAACTAAATCTAAGTAATTAGTTTGTTTTGACTTTAGGATCAGTTTCTCTTCTTGCCTTTAAAAAACTATGTCATTTAAAAAACTTAATAATCACCCTAGTAATTAGCCATAATTTTTCTTTTTCATGCAGTTAGTATGCCATTGTATGCTTATCTGAATGTTCCATTTCTACAAAATTACTAATTTGAGTACTCTGCTCTTTGGCCAGATTATTTTTCCTCCTCTTTGCCCTTCCATTCCTTTTGATTTGTCTTTTTCCTTTGCTTGGGTGAGTACATAGCACTAAGATGTCTGTCTTCTCTCTTCTTTCCTTATATTCATGCCCAATTTTTAATGATTCATGAGGGAACCACCCTCACTTCTCTACTTGAGAGGGGAAGAGAAAGAGATTGCATTTTTCCTGAATTCTGTAGTAGAGCTTGCTTAAACAGTGCAATTTAAGCCTTTCTCCTGATCACTAGTATTTGCATGGTTTTGCAAGGGCAGGGAATTTTTCTTATACAGATACAATACTGTAGAATTCTTTCTTAGACTTTTTCAAGTAAAATGAATGATCAAAAGACAAGAGCCTTCTCTACAGAAGCTAGAGTACTACCTCCTCCCTTTGACCCCATTTGAACAGGATGTGATTAGTACCCCAACTTACAGAAGTATATTACTCCCAGCCTCTCTTCCAGGACCATGTTATTCACTATTCTGACTTTTATCACAGTAGATTAATTTTTCTTGTTTTTGACCATATATAATCAGTACTCTTTTTTGTGCAGTTTTAGCTTTGTGTTTATTGAGATTTTTCCTATGTAATTGTATGCAAATGTTTTGAAGAGAAATTTATAGTCAAATGGAGGCTTCCCTTTTAGACTTTGCTAGTGAGGGTGGTAAAGAGACCACAATTGTTATTAATTTATTTTTTTGTGGTGTTTGGCTGGAGTACAGGAGTTATTATTTTTATCTTCCTAGGCTGCTCTTTTCCTTGTCTTTGGGTAGAGAGAGCAGAGCAAGCTTTATGTGAGGATTTTGTGTGTGTGTGTGTGTGTGTGTGTGTGTGTGTTTGGACTGTATTCATTCACATTTTTGTATTGTTGACTTCTCTAACATCTGGTCTGGGAAATATGAGACCAAAAGAACCTAAGGAACTCCTCATTCTTCAGGCCAAGCTGCCTTCTCTCTACCTTTCACAATCTTCTTATGTTTGTTTTATACATATTAACAGGATTTTTAGCTCTGTTTAGTAAGGAATTAGGAAAATGTATATCTATGGCATCTTTATGGAAGCAGAAATTGAATTGTTTTACTTTTAGTATCTTTTTTAAATAGTCTTTTGAAGTCATTAGGAAAAGTAAAATGAAATATTTTATGCAATCTGGTCACTTAATATATTCACCAAAAGAAGGACTCTGAACAGAAAGTAATTTATGATAAAAGATATTCTCAGTGTAATCTGTTTATATTCTAAACTGAAGAATTGTAACCCTGTGTAAATTTAAATTCCTGTGTTTAATTACAGAATCTTTTGGCTGAAAAAGTAGAACAGCTGATGGAATGGAGTTCTAGGCGTTCAATCTTCCGAATGAATGGTGATAAATTCCGAAAATTTATAAAGGCACCACCTCGAAACTATTCTATGATTGTTATGTTCACTGCTCTACAGCCTCAGCGGCAGTGTTCTGTTTGCAGGTAATTTACATATTTAAAATTCTTAAAACTACTAACTCAGGTTTAGAATTGTATTTTATGATTAATATGTATAAGAGAATTAAAGAGTTGTTCATCATTGTGAAATGTAGCAGTGTGCATTCTAGTATATTCTAGAAAATGACTTTGATAGGCTAATATTTCTTTATTATGGGCATATAAAATATTTATTGCATAGTTATGTAAACAGTCACGAAAATTGATATGTTATCTTTAATTCCTGCATGTTGTCTTGTAGATTGCCTCATTATATCTGTGGTCAATGAAGTAGCTCCCTTAAATATACTCTATTTTAACAATTTTATAGAGAATACTCTTTTTTTTTTTTTCCTGAGGGAAATCCATTTACTTTTTGATGTCTCTGGTGATCAGCATTTTTTCCCTAGACTGTAGAAATAAATAAATTGAAATTAATGAAATACTTTTTCAGTATGTATACACTGAAGAAAATTTTGGGCAAGTATAAATATGATATATATGCAACAAATACTTTTTCAATTAAACTTATTTTGAGATAATTGTAGGATCACATGTACTAGTAAGAAATAATACAGAGATATTCTATACATCTTTTCTAGTTTTCTCCAATGATAGCTTCTTATAAATCCGTGGTGTACCATCACAAACAGGTATTGGCATTGATAAGTATAGAACACTTATAACATCATAAGAATAACTTTCTTGCTCTTTAGAGCCAAACCCACTTCCTCCTGTTCCATTCTCTCCTTTGAATTTCACCTCTAGCAATCATCCATTTTCCATTTCTTTAATTTTATTTCAAGAATGTTACGAAAATGGAATCATATATTGTTTGACCTTTTGGGTTTAACTTTTTTACTTATGTAATTACCTCAAAATCCCTCCAAATTGTGGCATTTATCAACATTGGTTCGTTTAAGTATTCAGTAGTAGTTAATGGTGTGAATATTCTTTAGTTCATTTAACTATCCATCTGTTGAAGGACATCTGGGTTTTTTGCACTTTTGGGCTTCAGACTATGTATATAAGGTATACATGAAATGTAAATGAGTTTCATAGTTAGGCTTTAGTCCTGTCCCTATATATCTCAATATATATTCATGCAAATATTTCAAAACCTGAAACCCAGTACACTACCAAAGCAACTTTGGATACTATTTCCTAAGCATTTTGGGTAAAAAATACGCAAACTATAAAATAAAACCACTATGAAAATTCACTTCATAGCTAATGGTGTTGAGTCTTTTCCTATGTTTATTAATCTTGTTGAACATGTTTTTGTGTGCTTATTTGTCATTTGTGAATCCTCTTTGTTGAAATATCTGTTCATGTGTTTTGTCTATTTCTAATTGTATTCCTACCCCTACCCCTGGGCTGCTGAGTTTGAGTTCTTTATATATTTAGTTACTATTCCTTTGTCAGAAATGTGGTTTTCAAATATCTTCTCCCAGGCTGTTACTCCTGTTTTTATTTTCAGCACAAGGTTTTATTTGTTTTTTGTTTTTGTTTTTGTAGGTTTTAATTTTGATGAAGTTTAGTTTATCAGATTATATTCTTGCTTTAGTTACCTAATTGCAGAAGTCTTTGCCTTGTCCTAGGTACTAGATATCTTCTCCTATGTTTTTTCCTAAAAGCCTTATAGATTTTTATTTTAAATTTTAATGCAATCTTTGGGAGGAAGCATTTAGTCTTTTATCATTAAGTTACTAGCTCTAGACATTTTTTTCTGGATGGTCTTTATCAAGTAAATTCTTCTTTATATCTATTTTGCTGAGAATTTTTATCAAAAATTGATGTTTTATTTTCTTATCATTCTTTTTGGTGTCAGTTAATATAATTTTGTTCATTAGTATTGTTGGGGTAGTAGATTATGTTGATTATCTTTCAAATGTAGAACCAGTTTTTTATACAGAAGTTTGTGGAATATTATTCTTTTATGCATTGCTAGATTCTGTTTGCTAGTATTTTGTTGAAGACTTTTGTATCTTAGGTTAGAATAAAAATGGATCTGTAATTTTCACTTTTTTATGTTGTTATTTAGTTTTGGTATCAGGATAATTCTGACCTCATAAAGTGAATTGAGGAATGTTCCCTTCTCTTTACTTTTTGGAAGATATTATGTGAAATTAGTGTTATTTCTTCTTTGATTGCTTGATAGAATCCTCCAGAGAAATCATTTGGGCCCAAATATATATTTTTAAAAAGCTTTTGAACTACATATTCCTTCTTATTAATGTTTAAGGACAGTGTAGGTTGCCTTTCTTCTTGGCTGAACACTTTTTCTTTTTAGGAGCAAACACTTTTTAAAATTTTTCTTCTTCAAGAACAAACTCGTTTTTATGTTATGCCATGACTCTCTACATTGTATGTTTACTGTAGACCTTTAAATCATTTTTGGACTTTTAAGTCATTTTGAACTCCAGTGGAGACTAAAGTTATTAGTAATTTGTAATTGAAAATAGTCAGTTTTACACAAACTAACTTGCAGAAGGGAAATTTCAGTGTTCTGAAATTTTCAAGAAGGACATTATAACAAGCTAATAATGTATATTATAGCATGACTAGAAGTCAATAGATAAGATAGTGAAGAAAAATACTTTGAAAAACAGAACTTCAGATGATACTAAGTATCAAATTTGAGAAACAGTGCCTAAATGGATATATAGCACTGTTGTTAGAATTGGACTAGCACATATAGATAGGGCTTATATGCCTTAGGGATGCTGTAAGGTTCCTACTCAGACAAAAATACCACTGTAATAGGTATTTTGTTATAACAGTTTGGTTTCCATTAAAAAAAGGTGTTTGTGTGTCTGTGTTTGTATTTTGGAAAAATCATTTATTTGCTTCCAAAATTAAATATGTTAATGTGGAAAAAATATATTTAACCAAGGTTTAAAAAATAAATATATTTTTTTCCTGTTGTTAGTACTATTATGAAGAAATATTTGATTATATTTTCGTTACTGTAATCTAGAAAGATTTTATTTTCAAATACTTATTTCACAGTGACATATAATTGTATGTATTGTGAAAACATAGTCTATTATATAGTGTTAAATTGTACATGCTTTGGGTATTATTTTACTAGATTATTCTGTTGCTAAATTTGTTTTTCAATATAGACCCTGAATTTTTTAATAATAGCTAGCTTATAAAACCTTTATTTATTTTATTTCCATTTACTATAGCCTTTGTAGTAATATACATTTAAATGTTAAATGTTTTAGAATTAGAAGAGAAAAAGATATTAGAAAAATTTAATTAATGGATCAAGGAAAGAGCTGGGTTATTAGCAAAGAAAGCACAGGTGAAGATTTAGAGGCAGATAAAAAGCATGCAGCAGATTTATGGGCCCCATACCTATGCTTTCTGATTATGTGGGGGTAGGCCAAGGAATTATTATTCTAAAACGTATAATCTTGACAAACTTAGTATGTGTACCATTATGGAGAATGGGAAAGAAGCAGGTTCATGACTCATAGCTTTTATTTATTTTATTTCATTGACAAGCAATGGGAATGGAAAGGCTTATGTAATGGGATTCAATGTAGCATTGAAAATCTTTATTGAAACTAGAATACATAACTTCTTAATGACAAATCTGCAAAATTAAATTGTTTTCTTCCTCTATACTGAGCAATTTAGGAGCAAGAACCACTCTGCTTGGAGATCATTACGTTTGCTTTATGGTGTGAAGTAAATTAGGAAAATGATCAGTATATATTTGAAATTGTGATGCTAGTTTCAAAGTTGTATTGGGGTTAAAAGGAAGCTGGAAAAAATAGAGCAACTAGTTGTGTTGCAATTAAGTTAGATTTTCAACAGGATAGTGAAGAGGTTTTCTGTAGTAGTAAAGTAGGGTTGAAAATTAGAAAGTTGGTATAAATGGTTTATGTAATAAATGAAAAATTGCTAAAGTATGATGATGGTATAGAGAAGCATGAGTTATTATGAGATTTTGGTAATGTCTACATTGTAAAATTGTATGTTGAAATTACTATGATGATATTGGAAATGGAGAAGAAAAAAATTGAGCTATCTAGAGTATGGCTTTGGAGTACGTTAGATTAAGCTAATAAATTTATTTTATAGGGTGATATAAATTATAAAGGAGAATATTAAGTAATCATCATTGAGCAATGGTCTTGAGTTCTAGGTGGGACCCATATGATACTGGGCAAAGTGATTCAAAGAGACCTTGAGGTAACATCTGAGATGAAAAACTAAAAAGGAGCTTTAGGAAAAATTCTTCAAGAAAATTATTTAAATCATGTGTCTGAATTATTAATTAAACATTAATAATTTTTAATTATTAAAGAACTATCTTCCCAACAACCATCTTCCTCCCACCACATGAACTAAGTTTTTCTGGTCCTTCTGTGTCAGTGGAGTTTGGACTATTTCTATAATACTGTTGTAATGTTTTATAATTATATAGAGTGTTTGAAAAGTTCATAGCTATAATTTAAAATATATGCTTTCCTTTGTGAGACTTTTCTGCTTTTTTCTTTTCTTTGAGAAATTGCTTCTGTTCTCAAATTATACTTAAGATTCTGCAGTTGCTTTTCTTTGTTGAAAGGCTGGTGAATGCCTTGCCTTCCGTTTAAGTTCTTTTAGCAAATCATTCTGCTCTTCCTTCACACAGTCAGTTTATTCACAAATTTCAGAATTCAATTCTCACCTCTCTCAGTGCTAAAATCAAACTCCTTGGCCAAATAAAGTTGTTAATTATGACTACTCAGTACAATTCTCACCTCCCTTAAGTGTTAACTCCAAACATCCTTTATCAAATTATACTGTAGGGAATATTCCCAATAATTGCTAAATCTTTTAAATTATTTTCCCGTTAAGTAACTCATCTCCTCCAGAGTTTCTTACAGATAGCCTCTTTTAAAAATATTAATATTAATTAAGAAAAAAATTCAGATGAGGGAAAATCAAAAGCTGTTTGTAGAATCAAGCAAAGAACATGCAAAACCAAAATTTTGGTGATGAATTCT